CTCTCTCTCTCTCTCTCTCTCTCTCTCTCTCTCTCTCTCTCTCTCTCTCTCTCTCTCTCTCTCTCTCTCTCTCTCTCTCTCTCTCTCTCTCTCTCTCTCTCTCTCTCTCTCTCTCTCTCTCTCTGTCTCTGTCTCTGTCTCTGTCTCTGTCGCTGTCTCTCTCTCTCTCTCTCTTTCTTTCTCCGTCACTCTTCTCATTCTTCCGCTACTCTCTCTCTCTCTCTCTCTCTCTGACTTGCTCGGCCGCTCTTCCTCACTCTCTGTGTCTCCGTCGTTCACCCACGCCGATTCATTGCTTCTCAATTTTCATTTCCAACAAGTTGTCCTCGCATTCGCTTTCTCCCTCGCGCATTATTTATTATTCTCCGTTTCTCTCTTCCTTCTCCTGTCTCACTCTCTCAGTCCTACCTGATCGTACATCGGTGCTCGCAGATGCGCGGGGCAAGCCGTAGGGCTTTTGGCCGTTGCCGAAGCCGAAGCCGTTGGCTTCATGCGTTGGTGACCAGTCGAGCTATGTACCTGTGCAGATAGACTGCCACCAGCCTGACCTCTCAGCTGTGCTAGCTCAGGGTAGCTGGCATGCGGTTTCAACGCCATCGCGGCGTTCGCCCGGGGCGAGTAATGTAATTGTATTTGCCCAGCCGAAACCCCACTTTAAGTATGGCTTACTCCGCGCCAAGGAAATATGTCAAGACTTATTTTTGAAAATTTCGAAAACCTGTTTTTGCACGCCCCTCGATGTCTTTGCTCGCTGTGGGCTGCGCCTGTGAACGCTCTAGCGTGACTGGCGACCGTACCCCCACCTGGGTATCTGCGTGTCACTGCTCATTCTATTCTCTCGCCCCTTCTGCTCACTCCGTGATGATGCTGCTTGGAGACATCACTGCATCTCTGCGGGATTCCATTTTCGTTTCGTCGCCATCGCTTCTCTTTGTTGATCAAGCTCCTCGGTCCTCGCTTGTCCCGATTTGTGCGAAAAGATGTAGTCGCAGCGTAGTGAGATGTGAGAGGAGAGGTGCGTCCTCCGGTGCATGTCACGTGATGGCACACCTGTCGTAGGGATTCACTCGCAGCGGGTTTCACTTATCTGCGAGGTTTCACCTGCGCGTCTGCTGGGACTCCCGGAGGAAACCCCCTCCCGCCCTGCCCTGTTGTTTTGAGCAAATTAAACTGTTCGTTTCCTCTACAAGGAAATATAATCTCTTAAAGTCGTGCACGCATTTGTGAGCGTAGAATGTACATACCCACATCCCACGCTGCAGGTTGCATATGATTAGCGTGCGCTGTGCGAACGCGCTGATGTACGCATGCGCACGAAGCACGAAAGCAATGCGGAATGAATAGCAAAGTAGTGTACATATTGATGTGTGAGAACTTAGTAGTTGTTGTTATTGTGATCGCATAGACTTGCTATTTATTCTGAACTGTAGAAAGACTTTCCTACCTGCGAGGGGGTCACTGTGATGTACCACGATAGCGCTAAGATATTTGTGTTTTTTTTGTCTCGATCGATCTTAACTTTTAATAGTGAGGTAGGGAGGTGTGACGTCAGGTTATTCGCTATTTCTGACGATAGCTTTCTCTTAGGCGGGTTCCGTCACAATCAGCTGTACATCGTACCAGAATCACGTTAATTTTTGCATACAGTGCTGATGAGTTCATTTTTATATGCAAAGCGGCAAGAAATCAATCAATTGTTCTTCGCATCTCAACGCAATGTTAATTCTAATCCAACACAATGAGTATAATGCTTTTGAGAAAAACACACGATCGGTGTTTCTCCGAAAGCTTGTCATGATTCCGTATAGATACTGATTCCACTCTTGCCGTATGACCGACCAACCTCTCGGCATTCTACCACAGAATGCCGGCTTGCCTGCTCATGACGATTAACTATTTCACTCTCTCATTCCGATAATCACATTCCATGCAGACCTGCGTCAAACGACTTCTTAATAATGATGTGCGCGCCCTTATTTGCATGTGTTATAGAACAGATACAATGAGTGTGTTTCACAGAGAACTGCACTAGTCCGGCAGCTATCATTCGAAGTGGGCGCTGTGTTCGCGCGTCCGCCATATTGTCGCAGGTTGACGCATGCGCAGAAGGTGTAGCGTGTTCAAGAAGCGCCATGTTTTATTTGCGCGCGGTTGCTGTTGTTTTAATCAAGTCATCGCGTGTAACGAAATCGTACGCCATATTTTTAACGACCATCAATGGTGTAACTGTATTTGCCGAGCCAAACTTGTGCATAGAAAAATTGTATTTGCTCGCTCTCTATCTTTCTCTATTTCTCTTCCTAAATAATAACAGTTACTACAGCCTGCTGGTTGACACGTTGTCATGTGAACAGAAACAAATGCTAACACGTCCGTATCTATGTACACTTATTAACAAAGATTCGTGTAAAAGTTAATAACAAGTCGTTTACAAAATTTTAACGATTAGAATAAATTAAATTAATATCACGTATAATCTGATAACGAATCTTATTTCTGCTCACCTTTCAACGTCTACTAGTAGCTTGTACCAAGCGAGAGCGACCGATTATTGCATTTCCAGTCGGAATAGGTAAACTATATATTATGTAGTTGTCGATAGTTGTTTTCGCAATTTCGAAATATCGCAATTATCATATTTGTACCCGGAATCTGTTTACATAGAAAACAGTTTCCGACCAAAACGAACGTTTTGCTGAATTAGCCACTGTCTTGCGTGGCGGCATTCATATTCATTGCCGATGGTAATATTATCTCACATCATGATAGTCTTTTAAGTATTTCGTTAATCGTACACAAACCTTAGTACTTGAATGAAACAACTTGTAGCACGTGTGACTGGACCGGGCGAGAACCCGCCCATGTTGCAATGTGAAGTGAGCGGACACGCGCATGCGCAGTGCGATTAGCACGGCAAGCGCTTACTGTGTACATAAGTAATATTTTGTATATATTGTTTATAAAAAACCTCATAATTCTATTTATTAAAGAACTTTGTTTATTAAAGAATTCTGTCATTTTCTGTGTTATATCACAATCGCTGTCGACAGTCCATACGCGTGAAATTAAGTATACCAGCCGACACCTGCCTCAAGCTATCACGACAAAGATTAACATTCATACACGGAGATGTCATTAAAAACACATATTTTATTAATCAAATACTCATATATCAAATGCAGAAAATCGTTCTGTTCATAGAATATTTCTGATTTAAGCCAACTGCATAAATGTCAACCAATCACCAACTTGCATGCAGATCACGTGCATCTAGGGCGATTACAGACGCATAGAAATACGAGCGTACTGGTGCAGTCCACTAAAAGCTTTCCTCGACACTAATAATTTTAAGCGAAATAAATGAATAGAATATCTCAATGTGATTATAATATTCTATACGGGACACGCCTAGGTTTAATTTTGTTAGCTTAACGAGTGCAACGATTTTGGGGTCCTGGTATACCTGGGGGGAATATACATACATATAAATATAATACAACTGTGTGCGGGTAAAGCTTGACACAACCTTGACACATAAGTAGAGTCATCATTGCTGACGTGGAGGCTGGCAGCTTCAGCTTCATCGAGTCATCCTTGAGCTTCCGCCACGACGTGATCACGTGCACGTATCGTGCGTCCACTATGCCAAGCCACGCTGGGCTAGCGGGTACATAAGGGGGCATATGACAGTTGTGAAGCACTCAGTCAGAGCCACCCAGCCAGGGTAACTCAACCAGAGTCTCTCACGCCAGAGACAGCGATAGACTCGAGTCAACCAGAGAGGGAGGAAGAAGCAGGTTGCAGCTCTGACCATCCCGCGATAGACGCTCAAGACCACCGGTGCCATGAACTACATATCGTAAGACCATTGAACTATCACGCATCTTCGTGGATTATATCGTTATTGCTGGTGTCAAGTAAAGGGGCGATTATATAGCCAAGTACTGCATAAATCCGTGTTGCTGTTTCTGTTACTATAGTGGTTGGTCATTACGGAATGTGCCTGGCAGTCGAGGTATAAGACCCGACGTGTCACCCCTGTGGGACGATCACAGCCTGATCTACCATGCGCATAAGGGGAACACGTTACACGAGTAATACTTCTCAATTCACACGTTTTTTTATTTTACTTGTTTCACATGCGGGGCACAAGATTTGTCAGTAAGAAACGCCGTACGATTTTGGAACGCCTCGTTATGTTTGACTGGACACAACTCACTAAATTGTTTTATACTGCATAGTGTGAACCCAGGCGTTGCAACTACGGCCTATCCAATTAAGTTTTGTTGTAACATCGTGTTCGATTTGTAAAACATGCAACCATATACATTTCGAGTAGGCCTATAACCTTTTTCGTTTCACATAGAACACGATTGGATGCATTATCAACGGCAATCTAAAACTAGTTTCTGTAATATCTAATCCGCGAATATTCTAACTGCATGAACTTAGGTTCCGCGCACAAAAAATTAAAAGCCGATGCAAAAAAGTCATGGTAGCTAAGTGACTGGAAGTTGCTAAGTAACAAGAATAGCGAAGAATTTCTTCAACCACAGTAGAACGCCGCGTAGTACAATCAGTACCCCGTCTCGAGTGTCTGTTATGTATAAGATCTCGTAGCTTTTTGGCCAAGTACACGCGATGAGGGCGCTGTGTGAGGGTGTGCGTGCCCGACACCCCTCCTCGTTAACACGGTTACGTAACATCGCCGTGAGTGTATTTAAATTCACCGTCACGCTCACGCAGTGCGATGATCAGTAGAA